TCCATTATTATTATTATTATTATTATTACCTCATTGCAACACATTTAATCCTTGGGTTAAGATCAAAGCCTAACTGCTGTAACAGATACCTGATAATGAAAGTGCTGAAATAAGTGCTAAGTGAAATAAAAGTAAGTGATGCATAAATAAAACACTAGAACTTGTCTACAGTCTTCCTGGACAGTCTAGAAATATTAATCGCACAGCAGCCCATTATTTGTCAGATAATTCCATTAAAAATGCTCAAAAGGACGCAAATGTTTTTAAGAGGTCCAGATCAGTGCTGAGGTGAAGCCTTTCCAAAATGCTCTAGCTGTAAGTGGCCAGTGTCATCTTCCACCTCTCAGCCAAAGCTGCCATAAGCAAATAATGCAAACTCCAACCCTCATGCAGTTGTCCTAAATGAGAAAATTAGCGATAAAAACTAAAATTGCTTCTTGTTTCAGGTTGCAAACATTTTTGGTTTATACTTTAAATTTGGGCGTTTTAACATGATGGTCTATGGAGGACGACTCATTTTTGGAGCCAGCCACGAGTGGCCGTTTGAGGAACTGCAGCTTTTGACACATCAGAAAAAATAAATCACATCGAAGGACTAGGAAATAATTCCAGTAAAGACAGTAATCTTTACAGGAAACACAATAAGAGAACATAGGCTCTACATGCTTGTTAAGGCCTGAGTGATATCTAAATGTTAAGAGCTTTGCATTTGATTCTTCCACTGTTTGGAGGCCATGTTATTTGAATCATAGCAAGGGACCTCAGATGGGCTCAAACGGGGTGTGAAATGCTTCTCTGGAAAACAATAAATGAAATCCTGCTACGTTCTTTAAAGCATAAAGGTCTGAAAAAAGAGACAGCACACACACTACAGCATGTGTTTCTTGTAGGAAAAAGCAGCTGGACAAATGTTGGTTGTATCTGCCGGGGTCGGGGTAGCCAGCTGCTTCGGAGCTCCCATTGGCGGTGAGAAAGCCAGGTTGAGCTTTTACAATCAATAACTTTTTATGTATCTGCTCACAGCAAATCTGTTTTTCTCACAGTTACTCAGGTAATGCTCTTTTCTGCCTTTGATTTCCCTTTTGCAAGCGTCACAAAGTTGCTGTTCCCTTTTATCCTCCCTCAGCCCTTTTTGGTCCCCCATCGTGTTTGTATATGTTCCTCCCTCACCTCTTCCTCCTTTGATCACCTCTCCGCCTAATATTTTGATCTTCTTACTTGCATTTCTCTTTTGCATCCTTGCTGGAAGTTCTTTGCCAAAGGTTTGTGCTTGAAGGATAAGCTCAAAATGTCACAATTTACATAAAACAGCAGGGGGTCTATTAACACCTGAAATATACCCCTATTTCTGTTGGCACAGATGCAGACAACACTATTTATTACAGCCTTCCAAAGATTGTACTGTTTACAGTAGAAAGGGCTACTGCCGTCGCATGCAAAATGTCATCCGCACCTTCCTCTTATTCCTTTGTGTCTGTGCTCCTCTTCCCCTGCAGGTGTGTTGTTCTCTGTGGAGGTGATGAGCTCTCACTTCGCCCTGAGGCATTACTGCCCATGCTTCTTCTCAGCAGCCTGTGGGGCGTTGACCTTCCGACTTTTAGCAGTGTGGGGTGGAGATGGAGGTGATGGATGCACTAAACACCACTTGCTCCTTTAATAGTCTACAAGTAGAGGGTTTACTTTAGAGTCACAGAAAAAAAAAGCCAAATAAAGCCTAGAAGAAGAAGAAATTCCCCCCAAATATGGAAAATTATTGTGTTGCAGTGGCCAAAAAAGAAAGAAGAACACGGTTCACTCAATCAGAATCTAAATTTTCTAAAATGAGAAGCTTAATATGAATGCACGCCTTGTTTTTCTGTATCAGTGCTTGGGGCAGTGGAGCTGAAACAGATGTCAGAGAAAAATGTTCAGCAGTACGTCGAGTAAGTGGTGCAGAGGGTCCAAATCTATTAATTATCCACAGCCTTCCACCAGACAGCCAGACAGCGTGTTGATTCAAACTGGATCCAAACACCAAATTCCTGCAGGAAAGGGTTAGGGTAATAAGCTTGCTTTCCAGCAGCTAACAGCTCAATAATCGGGCCACAGTAACAGCTCCTCACAGCAACAAGTCCAAGATAATAAGATGGACTTGTTGAGCATGTCATAAAGAAAACTTTTTTTTGTTAGTTGTGCAATATTTTCTTTAACAGACTGAAGAGCTGAGATTTTACTGAAGTCAGACTTACAAGGACACTGTGCTATTTCCTTTTTAAAAGCTGGACCACTTAACACCAACAACTGCGTAGGAAAATAATGACATTTTAAACATAAGTGTCCTAGATTATACTGGGCCACCTACACGCTACACCTACATGAGCGCTCAGCTGTAGAAACACAGGACATGAAGCTCCAACCGCACAGTTTTTATGCTGATGTTAATGTCAGAGAAGATCTGGAAGTCTGCTGTTACTGAGTCAGCAGAGCGTTGGAGACTTTTTTTTTACACTGTGTGCCTTTAGTACTTGGTGACCCTGGTTTCCACTGTGCAATAGTACCATTGACAGCTGATCATGTCATGGTCCTGGGTTGCTGTCCCAGTTTTTCTAAGTTAAGGACCTCTTAGTTTTGGTTATTTTAATACTTACCGTTTACAGTTGCTTTATGTTTTCCCTCGGTTTTCCTGGTTTTGTTTATATTTAAGTTATTGTTTCAGTTCATCCTGCCCGATTAAATCTCTGTGTTTGGTGTTGCTCGTCTTGCCACTTCCTGTTTTATTTTGATAGATGTTTGTCCCCTGTGCCTTGCTAAAGGTTCTACTTCCCTTGTCATCCCTGATTTGTCCCCACTGCTTTTCCCACCTGTTTCCCTCTAGGCTCATGTCCTTTTATAGTTATTGTCTCAGTCACCCCTTGACCTTTGCCAGGTCGACCACAAAGTCTATCCACTTCCAGAGTTTTCTGTAAAATCATTCCTAGTGGCTCCTGGTTATTTGCATTGTCTAGCTTTACTTTCTGCTTTTTTAGCATGTTTTCCTTTTACATTGATCTGCATTCACTTCCACTTAAGCATCCAGCATCCACTTAAGAGGAGCATTGGAATTCAGTGAGCTCTGCAGAACGACCTGTTCTCTTACCAGTGTTTGTAAAAGCAGACTGCGTGGATAGGTGCTTGATTTTTCCGAGCCTGTGGTAAATGGACTGAAAACACCTGAATTCAAAGAAGAGACTGTGTGGCCTGTTGCTTTGTCTACATGACAGCAGCTCCTTTACTGCCTGCAGTGCACCAATAATCCACCAGTGGGCAGAAGATGTATGTCACTGCAGCTTTTTCAGAGGCCTGTTGATCATGTTGACGACATGGATCTCTCAGAAACCCATGTGCCAGACTGTCTGACATAAACAAACTCTCCATCTCTCTCATGGTATTTATCATGAAGATGTCTCATGTTGAAGTAAATCCTTAATTAAATGAAATATTTTCTTTTTTTAAATTCTGATTTTATTTCTTTCTGTTGTCAGTAATGTTGACGGCTATATAATAACTCGCCATGTCAAACATCAACTTTGGAAAAGTTAGTGGAAGCATTTAAGCTGGCAGACTGTAAAATCCAATACATTTTGAGTTCAGTAATGTGAGGGATTATTAAATCTGCAAGGCTGTGGGGGAGATTGAAGTGATGCAATTTGTTTTATGTCCACAGAGACTCTCCAGGCCTTGTTCAGAACTAATTTCCCCGATGCTTTACCTTTCTACCCGCTGGAAATTCTGCTGTTTGCTTTCCTAGGGTAGGTTTATTTTGACAGTATCTGCATAATCAAACAGGTCCTCTTTTATTCTCTGTCTGACAGATAATCCCTGACTTCTCAATTCAATTCAATTCAATTTTATTTATATAGCGCCAAATCACAACAAAAGTCGCCTCAAGGCGCTTCTGGCATTCGTATTCATATCAGTCACAATGAAAAGCAGCTGTTTTTCCTGCTGTACCAATTAGCATTCCAATTTTTTTAGTCTCATCTCAACCATTTCCTCCTCCTTCTTCTCCTTCCCATGACTTCTCCAAGTGTAATGACTTCCGATAGTCTGTTGCTGCCTGGATTAAAATTAGCCTCTCATCTCTCACTGTGGTTTGTGTCACTGTCTGAAAACAGGCTGCTGTGTGGGGCTGTGAGCTGCTGCTACCTCTTCTGCCACAGGTGGATCCTGCGTTTCACTAAAACAAACCCAGTTTTCGCCAAGATGCTGACGACAGAGTGAGAGCTCTTTGCAACCTGGAATTGTGCTTTAAAATCTGGTTGACAACTTATTTGCCTTTTTTTCCAGATAGAAACAAATATTTGTCGAGTAACACACTTTAAACCACTGAAAGCATGGACTAGAGTAGATAGGAAAAATTTTCAGGTTATTTAGAAGTCGGACAGACAATTTTAAAAGCTAATGGAATGAACCAAATGGCTGTATTTTGCAGGAAGGCTCTGTACTCAGGCATGGTTGTCTTCTTCCTGGCATCACTGACGTTTCCCCATTTTGCTGGTCATTACATGGCTTCTAAGGTGGGCATCAGCAGCATTTAAAGACATAACACTGCAGTGAGTCACGCTGTTGCTTTCGTCTGAATGTTCCTTCATTATAATGCACTTTATTCTGAGTCACTCCCGTGTATGCTGCTTTGCTCTCATCCTCCTATAAATTGTAACTATTAATCCACAATTATAGTCTGCAACAATTTCACCGCTCACTCCAACACTTGATCTGAGCCTGATCAGATTGTTTAACTCCATTACAAGCTCAAACACTTTGTTTGTGTTTGTCATTACTTTGCTCTTCCTTAGACATTATTACACTCACCACAGAGGCTTATTTCACTTTTATTTCTGTCAGGGTGTCAGCTCACAATATCTAATTCTATCTCAGTAACTCATAACTGAGATTTTTGGCACAAAGCTTCTTGAATAATTTCCCAGTTCTAACATAAAAAAGAAACTTTTCTTGTTTTCTAATTCCATTTAAAAAGCTCTGATTGCTGGTTTTTTTTTTTCAAATCATAATAATCCCATTAAGCTAGCAAAGACGCTAATCGATGCCGTTGTTGAATATCACCATCACATCATCATCAATATCAGCATAGAAATGCTCTTAGCAGAGGTAGTGCATCTGAAAATGACGTGCACGTGGACACTGGCCTGTTTTGAATCAGTCTAAACCAACAGGTTTGTGCAATCTGCATACCATCAGCTACAGCTCATCCATGTCTCTGCAACAGGAAACATGTTTACCTCCACGTGAAGTGCCCAACAGGAAAATGCAGGAAAATCTTTCCAAAGTGTTTCCAATCGAGTAAAAAATAAATTTATAAATTAACAAATAGATTTAAAATAAATTTTATAAGAAGCCCTTCATCGTTTGTTTGTATGCATCTGAAGCAGTTCTGAAAAAATTTATAGGGTACAAACAAATTCAGAAAACATTGATGAGCCACTGCTTAATTATTCCATGAAAAACTACCAGTTTAGGCAGCAGCCCTGGTTCAGCTCGAACATGAGGCCCTTTGTTTTTCCCCACTCTCTGCCACCTTTGCAGCCTGCTCTCCACGGTGCTATCTAATAAAGGTCAAAAAATTAATGTTAAAAAATATTGGTACACATGCAGATTTGTGTGCAAATTTTGGTATCCATCCAATACCAAATACAGGGCCAGAATTCCCGATACGAACACTGATATCGATACTTTTAACTTAATGGCAGCTTATGTAGGGGAGAGCAGCGTGTAATGAGTTATGAGATGAATCATCGTGAATTTGCATTTTCTGATTTTAACAGCCACTAAATCTGTGGCTGTAATTAGAGAAGACAACAAAACTCATACTTCAGCTTTTCGTGTATTTTGAAACTGGGGTTTTTAAGACCTGGAATGCAAATGAGCCTTTTTATAAAGTGCTTTGGGTCAGCTTTTGCTGTTTAAATGTGCTATAGTTTATAAGTAAAATCGACAAGACAGTCAACACGAAAAAGTTCATATATTTTCCATAATGCCTGATTGAGTTATATTTTTTATTTCTTAGAAAATAATTTAACACAATTCCTACATGTTGAACTTAAAGGATAGAAACAAAGTATCGATCCAATACCAACACCGGCGTTACTGTTGATATCTGGATCAATCCGCCCAGCTCCAGTGCAAACGAACTCTTTGTAAATGAGGACCAATGTTAGCATAAGTCTGTTTTTGTTTCATAATGGCACGTGTGAGGTAATAATACTAATATCACTAATCTTTTAATCAGTACACCATGAAAGAACTCCTCACTTCTTTCCTGGATAGCAGGCAGTGGACCTCACAATCCCACAACACCTCTGAGCAGCTGCAGCCTTTGTTGGAGTGGAGCTCATCAGGGACTTCTGTCTACTTCTCTTTGGTTTTCTTTCTGCTCATGAAGGTACAGCCAATGCAAAGGTCAATGAAATCATCTTTTTATCTGTCTAGGAATCCTAAGAAGGCTGCGACTCCTCTTGTTCCTCTCTGCTGGGTCACAGCGACCCATAATTGGAATACAGTAATTGACATTTTCACAATAGAATAGGCAAACTAAAGGCTGTTTAACCTTTGAGGATGAAATGTCTTGTGATGCTTGATAGCAACACTGCGGGTGGAAAGAATGGGATTTTGACCTTTAACAACTATTAAAGTAATAGCCCAGTTACTGGTTTTAATCAGTCCCATTATGTGTCCACACATCTCTTCTTCTCATTTGTGTTTGAAGCAGACAGAACACCTTGGAAACGCACAAAAAAGAAAAAGAGTTTAAAAGAAAATTTCTGCACTGAGAACAGTTTCTGACAGTCACTTTAGCAGGAACCAATGAGCAGTTCTCTCATTTCTACATTTAAATATGAAACGCAAATGCACATAATGGAATCATTTGCGCATAAATGAGAGCAGTGCAAACACAGCCTGATGTGACTCCTCTGGATGCTCTGTGTCTTTGTCTGTTGTGTCTGAGATGTGGATGTTGGTCCTCGCCTGCACCCTGCCTCTGCCAGCTGGATACTTCATGCCAGTGTTCATCTATGGTGAGTGTTTCAACTTTAAATTTCGATATAACAAGTCTGTCTCACTGCATCCCCCATCTGCAGGAGTGAAAACTGTCTTTTTCCTAACATGGCAAAGCTACTAAGTAAGAAACCCTTTCTTAATGGTCGTTTTGGTTTCTCTTTTCCAGGGGCAGCTATTGGCCGTTTGATTGGGGAAGGAGCCGCTTATTTGTCTTCCACTGGAGTGACTCCAGGCCAGCAGTGGGCTTCTGTAAACCCAGGAGGCTATGCACTTGCTGGTAGAAAAACCTGACCAGCTGTAGTTTGGTGCTAATATTTTACACTCACATTGACTTTTGCCTGAATGTCTGAAAGGGACAATTTTGCCTGCATTAATCAGTTTACTTCAAATTTTGCTTAACATTTTCCTAGAGCTACAATTTGAATCCAGTTTTAGCTAATAAGTTCATTTCTATCATCATCATGCTTTTCAACTTTTCAAGTTTTTAAGTAAATTTGCTGAAATGTGGCATAAAATTTAACAAAGCAACAATTCAAAGTGCATCATATGGTTTGTCTGCTTTAGGTGCAGCGGCCTTCTCTGGCGCTGTCACACACACTTTGTCCCCAGTTCTCGTGGCTATAGAGTTGACTGGTCAGTTCACCCATGCTGTACCCATCCTCCTGGCGACTCTGCTGGCCAATGCCCTGTCACGCTCTGGCCAACGCCCATCTTTCTATGATGCCTTGTCCATCAGCAAGAGGCTCCCACACCTTCCCTCTCTGAAGAAGGCAAGTCCTCAGTAAGTAAACACATAAGGCCGTCTGACAATCTGTAGTAAACCTCTGACTTTGGTGCTGATTGTGGGTTTTATGCATCTAGCTGAGCAGTGTGTGTAATAACATTATATTAGTAAGAAAGTATTATCAATATATAAGGCATGGAAATGTACACTATTACTGAATTCTAGCCAGAAATGGGGAAATGTGTGAAAATGTGAAAAAAGCTGAATATAAAGTTTATATTAATAAAATATAAAGTTTGTTTTAGTTAAGTTTAGGTTTTCTCATTGCTGTTCAAAGCTTGTTTTTCAAACAGTGTTTCACAGTGAAATATTTCATCAGTTGATGTTTGGATCCTCAGACTCGGAAGTTATGCCGAGTATCAAAAGTTTCAACTAAACTTCAGTCCATGACTGAAACTATAAAACTATAAGGAAACCAACCAAAGTGTAAATAAACATACAACTAACACTTTTATGCATGGCTGTATATAAACTGCTTAAAAAATTAAAGGAAGACTTTTTAATCAGAGTACAGCATCGAGTTAGTTGAACGTCTGGGATATTGATCGGGTCAGGTTGTTCATCAGTTTTAGCTGCTTTGGTGTTATTGAGTTCCGGGAGACAGGCAGTTATTCTAGGAGGACCGTAGAAGGTCCTTAAACCATTAGCAGGACTGATGTCTGCTCCTTTGACAGAACAGGATGATCACTGCCATAGAATACCAGAATTGGCAGGTCCACCACTGGCGTCCTGTGCTTTTCACAGATCACAGCAAGTTCACCCTGAGCACACGTGAAAGGATCTGGAGAAGCCGTGGAGAAAATTATGCTGCCATTAACCTCATTCAGCATGACCGGATTGGTGGTAAATCCATGATCGTCTGGTGAATCATGTTTATGGAGGGATGCTCAAACCTCTACAGTACAGGCAATTCGGACTGGCACCAGATCTGGGAGAAGATCCCCCAGGACACCAGACATTGTCTTATTAGGAGCACACGCCAACATTGTCGGGCTTGCATACAAGCATGTGGGGGTCATATAAACTACTGAGTACCATTTTTAGTTTCTGCAATGAAATTTGTGCAAAATGGGCCAGCCTGCTGCAACATTTTTGCACTTTGATTTTAGGTATGTCTTGTAATTCAGTCCCCAGTAGGTTGTATTTTAATTTCCTTACTTTCATTCCAAGCACATTATCCAGTCCATATCAGTGCATCCAGCACGACTTTTTGATGTGTTTTGAAAGAGTTCCTTTAATTTTTCACAGCAGTATACAAACACGCATATGCATATATTCACACGCACTCTACTTCCATTGTTGAAAGAATGCCAGATCACTACAGAAACCCACCGCTCTGTCTAACCAATCAAAATCTCCAAAAGTTGATTCTGTTCATCTGGACGTAGCGTTTTGTGGGAGAAACGTTT